GTATCCACCTATAACAAGGGTTTTAATTTCTTTCGTGTATCTTATAAGACGCATTAATTGATAATTAACCGATTAATAAAATTTTTTTTAATTTCATAATTTTATAAAATTAAAATAAAAAAATTTATTAAATTTAGTTTAATAGTTGTTAAAATATTTTAATTGAAAGTTTAAAAAACTTCTACTTAGAAAAAATCTCCACTTTTGTTATTGAAAAGTTCCTATATGCAAATTACTATTAAATTTGATATAATTATAAAATTTTCTTTTTCTCTATAGCTAACTATTTTTTTATTATGCTAATATACTTTAAGCTTCTAATTAAAAATATAAAGAAGTTTTATTAGACTTAATATAAAAAATCATTAAAATTGGTCTTGTAGATTACAAGATAAATATATTTTAAGCTTTGTATCTATATAAAACTTTTATAACTGTAAAGAAAAAAAAATTTATTACTATATAAAAATACTATCATTCCTTTGTAAATTGCTAATTAAATAAAATTATATTAATTATATTAATACTGAAATATAAAAAATTATTGAATTATTTTAATACTCGAATTATTAGGCTTTATAGTGTAATCAATATAATTTTTATAAACATTCAAATAAGTCAGTGTAGTATTCTTACGAAGTGCATTTGCTAATGCTTTCCCACCTTCTGACCCAAGATAATTATATTGAATACTCAAAAAAGTCAGCGTGGTATTCTTGCAAAGCGCATTTGCTAATACTTTTCCTTCATTAAATCCGAGTCCATTTTCACCAAGTTTCAAAGAAGTTAGCGTGGCGTTCTTGCAAAGTGCATCTGCTAATAGTTCTATTTCTTCTGATATATTACTATTCTGAAGAAGTGATTCATTGGCGCTAAGCCTATTAAGTGCATACGCTCGTGTTTTTGCACCGGATCCAAGATTATTATTACTAAGATCCAAAGAAGTTAATGTAGTGTTCTTACCAAGCGCATCTGCTAATGCTTTTCCTCCTTCTGATCCAAGGTTATTATAGCAAAGATTCAAATATTTCAGCATAGTGTTCTTACAAAGTGCATTTGCTAATGCTTTTCCTCCTTCTAATCCAAGATTATTATAGCTAAGATCCAAAGAAATCAACGTTGTATTCTTGCAAAGTGCATCTGCTAATGCTTTTCCTCCCTCGAATCCAAGATTATTACTGTTAAGGTTCAAAGAAGTCAGCGTGGTATTCATGTAAAGTGCATCTGCTAGCGCTTTTCCTTCTTCTGGTCCAAGTTTATTAGAATTAAGATCCAAAGATATCATTGTAGTGTTTGTGCACATTGCATTGGCTATTGCTTTTCCTCCTTCGAGTTCAAGATCATTACCACCAAGATTCAATGAAGTCAGCATAGTGTTCCTGGAAAGTACATCTGCTAATACTTTACCACCTTTTGATCCAAGATTATTATGACTCAGATCCAAAGAAGTCAGCGTGGCATTTTTGCAAAGTGTATCTGCTAAGGCTTTTGCTTCTTTTGGTCCAAGTTCATTATAATAAGAACTAAATCCATCTCCACCAAGTTTCAAATCTTTCAGCGTATTATTCTTGCAAAGTGCATCTGCTAATGCTTTTCCGACATCCGATCCAAGATCATTACAACTAAGATTTAAAGAAATCAGCGTAGTGTTTTTGCAAAGTGCATCTGCTAATGCTTTTCCACCTTTTAGTCCAAGATTATTATCCAAAATGCTCAAAGAAGTAAGTGTAGTGTTTTTGCAAAGCGCATCTACTAATACATTTATTTCTTCTGATCCTAGATTATTATCTTGAAGTTCCAAAGATGACAGTGTGGTATTCATGAAAAGTGCATCTACTAATGTTTTATCAATAGTATCTTCAATAGTTAAATATTTAAGATTTTTACTTGCTCGCAGAAACATTGCAACTAAAGTGCATTTGATAGCATTTGCAAGTTTATCACCATATGTTTCGAAACGATATCCTTCATTTTTAAGCCAATTTCTTATTCCGATAATCAAATAAAAACCAATAGAAGTAGTATAACTTTCATATTCAAATAATGTCTTTGGATAGTTTGTAAGAATAATGTCAAAAGGGATCAATTTAGCTTGTTCTTCAACATTCAATGCTGAAAGATATATTCTTATAAGCCTCTTATCATCAAAATAATTTGTCGGTTCACTCCATAGTATTGGTGTAATAATTCTACACCATTGACGGTTTACAAGAAGGCATGAAAATAAGCTTTTATAATTAGTTTGAAAATTATTAAATATTTCAATAAAGCATTCGTTCGGTAACATTATCATTTTGAAAGGATTTTGAATTTAGTATACGGTAATATTAACGATAAGAAAATTGGATTTTGTCTCAAGGTATATAACCAATGTAAAATGTTGTGAAACATTGTAATCAAATTAACAAAACAAATAATGTTGAACTTCTCAAACCGATATGCACGGTTGGCAGGTTTTGTGTAGGGATGGGAACGGCTACGGCTATAGCCATAGACGATATTAGCCAAGCCGAGCGGCTTAGCCAGCCGGCTAAAATTATAGCCGATGCCAGATTTTTAATGTCCTGGTTGACAAAATAATAATCACAGCATAATTCAGTAATAAATCATATCGGCAGGTCTGCATCATCTGATAAATAGAGGAACCGATCGTTCATAATTCTGGTCAAATTTGCAGATCATTTAGCCAGATCTATAACAAAACAATTTTAAATCTGGTAAAATGATCTGCAATTTTAACTATAATTAGGAATCTATTGAATAATCAAGATTTTTTTTTAAATTTTAGATAAATAAATAATTTTGGTAGCGGTACCATTTTGATATAATCTTTAAATAAGTGTACAAAGTAAATAGTATTGAACGATATTTATTTTGACCGATGTGAATATCACGTGATGATCGACGAAAATTGGTGTAACATAACAATTTCAAAACAAAAAAAATCACTATATAATTTCGTAAGAAATCGCACATTGCTGAGCCAAAATCAGCATCAGCCGCGACAATTATTAAACCAACATATAATTGGTTTAGATATTTGATGAAATAATTAATTAAATAATTGATCGGCTATAGCCGGCTATTTAGCCGCGGCTAGCCGGCTATGAGTGGCTAGCTGATAATAGCCAGCCGTAGCCGTTTCCATCCCTACTTGTGTATATACATGTTTTAGAGAATCTATAGCGTCATCTCTAAATGCTAAATCAGCACCGAATGGAGGATTGCTTATGATGATTTCGTAATGTTTGACATTATCTCGGACATCACCAATCATGATTTTATCAATAGGGAAGTCTGCAATATCGGTATTTTCATTCATATCCATGGCCTCAAGTCTAGCAGGTTTATACTTGCTTATTGATCTAGAAATTTTTAATATCCCACAAAAAGGTTCATAAATTACCTTTCCGGTTAATGGTGTTAAATTATTAATGATTTTAACGCACTCATCTGCTAGGGCTTGTGTTATTATAAATCTTCCATTATTAATTTGATTAATGGGATAAACATGGTCATTAGGAATATAAATAGCTTGAGGATCTTTTGCAAATACTAAAGGTTTTATTGGTACACGAGATTTCCCTTCGAATTTGTAATATATGGCCAAACCAAAAGAAACTATTACACCAAACATCCATAACATTATCATGGCCAGCCATGGTATGATGGTGTTGTCTAAATAGTTCAAGACCATGGAATGACAGTTATGATTAATACTGTAAAGGCATTCTTCAGCATCTTCATTTTCTATTAAGGATAGGGTGTACAAATTTCCAATTTATATAAAATAGATTGTAGATCAACTTTGTGTAATGAATTTTATATAATATCATATGATTTATATGTAAACATCATATAATTTGACTAATCAGAATTAGCAATTTCTTTGTACTACTTAGGAAAAACATATAGCAACCTAGGAAAATTTAATTATATGTGAAGTTGGTTTTTTTTAAAGCAATGCATATTGTGCAACTTCAATATCATAAATAAACTAT